AAGCCCATATCAATGCAATGTTGGATGCCACATGCACTTTTAATTTGGCACTGTTACGCTCCTGATTCATTGACACATTCTCCAGATGGGGCCAATGTCTTGCAAAGAACCTTGTCACATGGACATTGGCAAGACATGCAATGACTTGACAGCAGATGGTCCTCAGACAGCAGGCTTGATGAGTTTAAAATTGGGTGAACATTGCTGCTGGTTACCAGATGTGTTGCAAATGTTGTCCAACATTTGAGGCTGCATATGTCAGTCTGCTCAAAGTTGCCACTACTAATGATATGATATAATAAATGTTATATCCATAGGTCTACGTCATCCAGAACTAGTTGGGAACGAGGTATGATGCCCTTGATTTCATACAACCAATACAGAAACAAGTAACAAAATGAAAATATGACAAACATACTTAAAGTGAAATTTAATATATACTTCCAACATTTTTTCTGTGCCAATGAAGTATTCAAATAAATGTTTTGAAAGTGCATCCTCTGAGGATACTGAGTCATCCTCATAAGAGGTGGTACACAACATTGAAATGAAGCTGGGGATAGGCTGTCTCATCTTCTCAGACATACTGCAAGGATATACTATGGAGAACAAGCTGCTGGTTATGCATAATCTCTTTTATCAGCAGTGTTTCAGGCATTACTCTTGCATGTCCATTTGTCATCAACAAATTGGAGGTATCCTTACTGGTAAAACTCCTGTCTCTCCATCTGCACAGGTTCGGTTCTGTTCCTCCCTGGCAATTTCTGCAGCCTCTCCTCAAACGGACTTAGAGTTCTCATACTGTGGGTGGCCCCCTCCAGTCATATTGTACTGCCTCCATTTATAAGCTGTTTTCTCCTGCAGACAAACTTAGTGATTAAGTGTCATCCTAATGATTGAAAAACACTTTATGAGCATGCATGCCTATGACAGTTTCTGAGTCCTCTCCATTAAATGTTTGACACCCACACCATCCTGCAACTGGTATAATATTAACAGCATGCAATTCCGCCCACACATTAAATCTACAAGTTCCATCTGTTGCTGAAACTTGAAACCCAAGCTCCTGCTTGCACCCCTCTGTGCTTGCTTGTTCACACTGCTTGATACTCTTATGAGAGTCACTTTGCAATTACTACGTGATGTCGCTTTACCTTACGCACTGTAGCAGATTGTTCATTCTCTTTCAGCAGTGGACACAGGCTCTTGAGCTGCTACTTCTGCAAAGGCTGCTATGGGCAGATTGGGTGGAACAGGACCTCCCATCCTTCCCAGCTGGTCTTGCTGTGAGGCTTTGCTGATTTGTGGGATTGCACATTGTCTGTTGTGAGACATCTCTGGGGGAAAAGATTCATGGGTATGGTTTCATTCTTGTGAATGTGTGTCCGGGTGTTCTTTAAGGCATGCGGCCTTCAAACTGTAATGGTGAGTGTGACAATTTCTTGTCCAACTCCACTGCATGATCTGCTGCACTGTTCACACATGCTTACCGAATTGGCTTCCGCTGCGATGATCATGAATGGCCATCTGCTCGCTTTGAGCAGAAGTGTTAGTCACTTCTGATACTGTTACCAACAGCCTCACCACCAATTCATGGTCCTAATCGACAGATTAAGAATTTGAAGAAATTAAACACCTATCACATGCAGGAGTCAGAAGGAATTCAAATTATGTAGTTCCAAGTAATTTTTAGAAGTTGTTTTGGCTTGCATTTTGGTTTCTCACCATAGTGAGGATTTACTTCTGGTAATGAGATCTATAATTCGATAAAGAATTAACATTTTTCAACAATTGCAAAATGTAATTATGTGCAATTAATGTATCCCCTGTGGTATTTTTCAAGGTTCATCAGGGGCACCCGATGTACAGAATACAGAAAAATTAGTATTGTCATTGGGACCTATTTATAATGCCGGTCAGATTCTCTTAAACTGCAAAATTCTTTCTGTATATAGTCCAAAATTCCAGCATCTTCCCTTCCCAATTTAGTTAAACTCCATCTTCAACCTCAGTATAACAAAATCTTTTAACTCACAGTGAGCAAGATCTGCATAAATATATGTAGACAGAAATAAATACTTCTATACATAGATATGGAAATAAGTTAAAAAGCTTTAGATGCAGAGGTATCTAGAGAGATGGATGGAATGTTCCCTTTAAGCTATGCAGCTGCACAGTCAATGTTACTGGAAAAGCTTCATACAATTCGGCCTGTTTAAGTTGTTGCATTTGCATGGCTGCATCGCCTGCTCTCTCCAAAAAAAACACGCATTAGATAGAAATGAAATCATTATGAAAGCTGTGAAAGGAAATCTGTCTCAACTTTGGAATAAACAATTCCTTAAAATCTGAGTAATTTTAGCTTAAGTCCCGCCTTAAATTTATTTCCAATAATATTCGAGTAGCACTTGTATGGGGAAGATAATGGAGTAGTGTTTGTACAGAACTACTGAAGCATTCTCTTTTATATTTTATCAGCAATCAATTCTGCATCTGGATATAGGGTTAAACATTTTGAGTAAATATGCAGGAAGAATTTGGAGTCTAAGTTTATTTTGATTAAATCGTTTAAAGAATTGGCTCCATCAAATTGCAACAATGCAAATCTAGATATAAGCAGGTCATTAGCAAAGGGACTGGAGATTTGAATTTATTTCAAAGCAATTAGGAAAAGTTTGGAGCTAAGGTTTCAGTTAATTAAGATGGAATTTTATACTTTTCAATGCTTGTGAGAATACAATAGTTATTTTATTGGTGTTTCTAGGTTAATTCAGTGTAAACCTTTCAGCATTTCACCATAGTGGTTGCCAGCACGGCCATTGACTGTTCTCTTTGCTTTGACTGCCACCTTACGTTGCTATTTTTGACGCATTGCAGTAGACTGTGAGAATGGAACAGCATATAAATGAAGTGGCATTTGTATATGAGTTAATAATGTGCGAGTAAGAAGAGAATGTGCTAAATTATACACAAAATTCTGGCTAGATCGTAGAATACAGATTCATGGAACATTTGTGAAAATTTTGATTTATATAGTTGCTTGCATATTAGGTAATATGGCATTTGAGATGAATATTCATTTCAACAATGCAACTAAGCACAATTACGCAGTTCTTGTAGATGTCAGATGAGGAGGAATTTCTTCACCCTGAGAGTGTTGAGCCTGTGAAATGCTCGGCCACGTGAAGTGGTTGAGACCAAAGTATTGGTATGCTTGCCTTTATTGGTCAGGACATTGAGTATAGGAGTTAGGAGGTTATGTTGCGGCTGTACAGGACATTGGTTAAGCCACTATTAGAATGCTATGTACAATTCTGGTCTCCCTGCTAAAGGAAGGATGTTGTGAAACTTGAAACAGTTCAGAAAGGTTTTCAGGAATGAGCAATAAGGAGAGGTTGAATAGACTGGGACCATTTTCCCTGGAGCGTCAGAGGCTGAGGAGTGACCTTAGAGAGATTTATAAAATCATGAGGGGCATGGATAGGGTAATTACGCAAGGTCTTTCCCCAGGGATTGGGGGGTCCAAAGCTAAAGGGCATAGGTTTAAGGTCAGAGGGGAAAGATTTAAAAGGGATCCAAGGGACAACTTTTTCACGCAGAGGGTGAGCTGCCAGAGGAAATGGTGGAGGCTGGTACAATTACAACATTTAAAAGGCATCTGGATTGGTATATGAATAGGATTGGTTTAGAGGGATATGGGCCAAATGCTGGCAAATATTTGGGATGTCTCGTTGGCATGGACAAGTTGGACCGAAGGATCTCTTTCTGTGCTGTATATCTCTATGAATCTATGTATTGAATATTTTCAAGAAGGCTATCAATATAGTTCTTTGCGCTGAAGGGTCAAAGGGTATGGGTGAACCAGGAGCAGAGTATTGAGTTGGATGATCAGCCATGATCATATTAAATGGCAGAAAAGCTGAATGGTCAACTCCTGCTCCTGTTTTCTATTTTCACTTCTAAAGACAGGCCACAAGAGTTGAAACATTAACTCGGCTTTCTCTCCACAGATGCTACCAGATATGCTGAGTTTCTCCGGCAATTTCTGTTTTTGTTTCCTATTTTCTATCCTCTTTTGTCGGGGACATTTATTCGTTAGTTGGGTGATATGCTGCTTGAAGTAGTATGTGTATTTATGGCCTGTTGGGGACACAGATTGCAGTGACTGAATAAGTCAAATTCTATTTTTCTGTCAGGCTACGGTTCAGAGGCTGAGGAGCATGGAATATATTGGCCAGGGAAGAGGAGCTGGTAGGATGTGCCGTTTGGACCCAGGGGGCACATTGAATTGGCAACCGCTTGCCCATTATCAGCCTGTTTATTGGCCTCTTGGTGTGGGCCCCTATTATCGCTGGTAAAATTAGAACAATTGGCCGCTTAAGGGCCTCAATGTGACCGTGGTGGGCGGGTCTCCCAATGGTTCTACCATTACTAGTAAAATGGCAGCGGAGCAGCAGATAGGCAACAGGCCTAGGAACCATGATTTTTTATGGATCCCACCCCAACCCCACCCCCACCCCGATCCCACCTCACCCCCACCTGTCAATCCACCACCACAGGGACATATGACCCAGCCATTGGTGTAGGGAGGGAGGTCTTCCACACTCTCCTTTGTGTACTTCACTTTCTTTCAGCAGGAAACCATTTGTCAGTTTTCACTCGCTGTGTAATATTGTGTGAAGCCTAACTGCAATGTGAAACAATTCATGCAAACAAGAGCCATCAATAACCTGTACACAGCAACAAAGCAAAATGAATATAATTGATTCCAAACAAAAATCACTTTAGAGCTTGTTGCTAATTATTTCTGTGTATAAAATATTTTCCAGTTGCTTGGATGGAAACTTCAAACAGGCTTACTTAAGTAGACACAAAGTTAAAGCTCATGATATATAAAATGTTTGTCTGAAACTATAACTAGAATGGCATGTAAAAGACCAAAAAAAAAATTCAAAGCAAATCTTGCAGTCTCTGTTTTTAATACTGTGTTCTTCTTTCAGGTGGATATGCATTTTATGAAAAAGATTCCTGCGGGTGCAGAGGCTTCAAATATTTTAGTTGGCGAACTTGAATTTTTGGATCGATCAATAGTAGCATTTGTCCGTTTGTCTCCTGCTGTTGTTCTCTCAGGAGTTGCTGAAGTTCCTATTCCAACACGGTTAGTCTCTTCAATGTATAATGTATGTAATTTCCTGGAAACCAATGATTCTTGATCTATGTATGGGAACAACAGTTAGAAATAAAGGCAATTTAACAGACAGGTATAGGGATATAAACATAGATGTGTTTCTTTTCAGGTTCCAGCTGTGAAAATCCTAATAGTTTGGTAGGAAAAGGCTGATTATTATTTCTCAACCATTTAAAGCCACTAACCTAGATTAGTAATACATCTTTAAATTACCCCAACTGAACCCTTAGAATTATTGGGCATACCTGCATGCTATCCATCCAGAGCTGTGCAATGCCTTATGCTATACATTGGTAACATTTGAACCTGAATGGATTGAATTGGGCCACCTGAGAATTCTGCTGAATAAATGAAGGATCTCTTTACTACTTGGCATGAGTCCACAGTGGGGAAAATACTGAATTTGTTGTAAGTAAATTGTACTTTCAAATTCTGTCAAATATTTATCATTCTCCGTTTTTATGTAGTTGCTTATATAAAGATAGAAATAGTGCTCTTTTGTTTTTTTTAAAAAAAGTTGTTAATGAGATGGGGATGTTGCTGGCTGGGGCAGCATTTATTGCCTATTTCTATTTGCCCAGGAGAAGGTAGTTTTGAATTACCCTTCTTGAACCCTGGGGTGTAGAGACACCCAGAGTATTGTTAAGCAGGGAGTTCCAGGATTTTGACCCAGTGACAATGAATAGATAATGATACATTTCCAAGTCAGGATTGTATGTGGCTTGGAGGTGGATTTGCAAATGGTAGTGTTCCTATGTACCTGCTGCTGTTGTTCTAGGTGGCAGAGGTCTCTGATTTGGAAGTTTCTGTTGGAAGAGCCTTGGTGAGTTCTTACAATGTGTGTTGTAAGAAAAAAACCTTATTTGAGCTAATTCAGAAACATTCATACTGCCAGGTGAACTTTTGAGTACAATGTTTTCAGGAACTTGAGAAATGAAGGCCATGAAAAGCTGTAAAAGGTGGGAAAGTTGGAGAGGCTGTTCATGACAAATAGACGACAAAGTTTACGTTGTGCAAGGATTTAAAAGTGGAGTTGAAAGCAGCTTGAAGGGGAGAATTCTTTTCCCTTAAACAAGTAGTTGCAGAAACATTAGAAGTGGGTAGAGAATTCAAATGTTCACAACTTGTTTACCTCATCTTCATACTAAATGACCAACTCCATTTGCAGAATTATGACCCCAGGTTCTAGATTCTCTAGGCTGGAGAAAGAGATTTTCAGTGTTTACCCTATTAGCCCTCTAAGAATTTTGTACAGTTCAATGAGATGGCTCTATTAGCTCTTCTAAGCCTCAAAGAACACAGGAGGAATTTTCCTGGGCAAAGACCTGAACCATCCCCACCCACCACCACCCTCCTCCGCTTGGCTGAGCTTGTTCTCACCCTCAACAACTTCTCTTTCAACTCCTCTCATTTTCTTCAGGTAAGAGGGGTTGCCATGGGTACCCGCATGGGCCCCAGTTATGCCTGTCTCTTCGTGGGGTGCGTGGAACATTCCTTGTTCCAGTCCTATTCCGGCCTCCACCCACAACTCTTTCTCTGATACATCGATGATATCATCGGTGCTGCTTCCCTGTCTCGTCTGGAATTGGAAAACTTCATCAATTTCGCCTCCAACTTCCACCCTGTCCTCACTTTCACCTGGTTTATCTATGACTCCTCCCTTCCCTTCCTCGACATTTCTGTTTCCATTTCTTGGGATAGACTGGCCACTAATATCCATTACAAACCCACCAACTCCCACAGCTACCTGGATTATACATCCTCACACCCCACTTCCTGTAAAGACTCCATCCCATTCTCTCAGTTCCTCCGTCTCCGTCACATACGTTCAGATGAGGCCAACTTCAACAAGAGAGCCTTGGAACCGTCCACCTTCTTCCTCAACTGAGGAGTCCCCAGCTCCGTTGTCGACAGGGCCCTCAACCAGGTCCGACCCATCTCCCACACTTCCGCCCTCACCCCTTCTCTTCCCTCCCGCAACAGCGATAGGGTTCCCCTTATCCTCACCTACCATCCCACCAGCATCCACATAGAGAAGATCATCAGACGCCATTTCTGCCACCTCCAGTGAGATGCCACCACCAGACACATATTCCCCTCCCGTTCCTTGTCTGCATTCCGCAGGGACTGTACCCTCTGGGACACCCTGGCCCACACTTCCTTCATCCCCACCACCTCCCCAAAGCCCTACGGAACCTTCCCCTGTAACCGGCAAAGGTGCAACACCTGCCCATTTACCTCCTCCCTCTCCAGTATCCAAGGGCCCAAACATACCTTCCAGGTGAAGCAACACTTCACCTGCACTTCCCAGAATCTAGTCCACTGCATTCGCTGCTCACAATGTGGTCTCCTCTACACTGGGGAAACGAAGCATAGACTTGGCGACCGCTTCACAGAACATCTACGTTCTGTTTGCAAAAATGACCCTGAACTACCTGTTGCCTGTCACTTTAACACACCACCCTGCTCCCTGGCCAACATCTCTGTCTCTGGCTTGCTGCAGTGTTCCAGTGAAGCCCAACGCAAGCTGGAGGAACAACACTTCATTTTCCGCTTGGGGACCCTACAGCCCTCCGGACTCAATATTGAGTTCAATAATTTTAGGGCCTAAACTCTCCCATGTCCCAGCCCCCTACCCCACACACCAGGCCTTGTTACCACATAGCCTGCCAGTACACACCCCCTGTTGTTAATCACTAACAGTCCCCAATCACCCTCCCAGCCTGATCGTTAACAACTCCTTCGTCCAACTGTCTTTCTCTCTGTTTGGGCTCTCTCCTATTGTTTACTCCCTACCCCACCCACCTCCCTATTTTCTGCATATAAACTGACGTTTTCCCAGCCACCATCAGTTCTGAGGAAGGGTCACTGGACCCAAAAAGTTAACTCTGTATTTTCCCTTCACGGATGCTGCCAGACCTGCTGAGCTTTTCAAGCAACTTTGCGTTTGGTCCTGATTTACAGCATCTGCAGTTCTTTCGGTTTTTATTTAGGAATTTTCTGTGCCTATCTGGAGCTTTTGGAAGGGTGGATGGGCAGCTTAATTGGATGGGAGTCAAAAATTCAGTTTCCAGATGATGGGTTAAAGATTTGCTACAGTTTTCTCAGAATCTTTCAGGTGCACTTCATGAAAACTCATTAACATCCCAGCACATTGGAAGTACCTTCATGATCACAATCTTACTAGCTCAGAACAGGAAACATATGTATTCACAAACCCAACTATGTATGTATGTACCTGGCAAGGTAGACATTTTCTTTGCACCCATGCTTAGGGCTGAAACCTCTCCATGTTGATCTGCCCATGTGAAGTCTTAGTTATATGCAATCCAGCTTGTTGTTAAATACTTACAATATTAAAAGTGAAGCCTGACTGGGCCAATAAACTTGCCGAACTGAGAAACCCACATTTGCTGATGTCAGCAAACCTGACTGGAGCAGGCAATCTCACAAGTGAATTCAGCACAAAAGGCTATTGTCTGTGGTTTTGTCTTCGTATCTTGCAAGCTTTTGTTGAAAAGTTATCAGTTTTATGTTCCCCTAGTTGTGGTGAAAGGTTAGTAACCTGATGGTGTGCAAGCTGCTGAGTGTTGTAGCTCCTTTTAATTTTTGAGTGTAAACACTTCCAAATATGTGTGATCTAGTTCCACCATGGTGTAAGTTGTGTTGCGTTGGTACCTACGACGAAGTGACAGGTATTGATTGTGCATGGAGCATCTTATGGAGATGCCTGGCATCCAACCTCCTGTGTGACAGTCCTCTGCATTGGCAACTTTACATGCTACTTCACACTCCTAGGAGAATGAAGCATTGAGTAGACAGTGATAAATGCCGTGGCGGAGAACAGCAGATCATTTATCTTCTTGCAGCTATGATGTAGAGGGAAGCAAAGGCACTGTCATATTATCACTGGACTGGCATTCAGGGGTCAGTTAGTTCAGTTGGCAGGACAGTTAATTTGTGATGCAGAGTGACACCAACAGCACAGGTTCCATTCCTGTACCTGCTGAGGTCACCTTGAAGGTCCTGCCTTCTCGATCTTGCCCCCTCGCTTGAGACATGGTGACCCTCAGGTTAAACTCACCACCAGTCATCCCTCAGTAATGAGAGAACAGCTCTATTGACCTCTGGGGCTATTTCGATTTTACCTTCTAGTAATTCAGAGTACCACATAATGTTCTGCGGATACCATGTCAGAATTCAAATTAAATAAAAGTCTTGAATTACCAATCTAATGATGACCATAAACCCATTGTTGATGATTGGAAAAACCCACCTAAAGTCCTTTAGGGAAGGAAATCTAATATACTTACCTAGCCTACAGACCCACAACAGTTGACTCTTAACTGCCCTCTGAAATAGACTAACAAGCCACTCAGTTGTACCAGTGATGAGAAAGTCTCAAAAGTGGAATGAAACCGGGCACACCTGGTATCAATCTAGGTGTTAGAAATGGCAAACACAGTCCTGTCTACCCTGCAAAGTCCTCCTGACTATAACCCGGGGCTAGTGATGAAATTGGAAGAGCTGTTTCACACACTAGTCAAGAAACAACCTGTCTTAGACATACTCATGGAATCATACCAGACACTGAAACAGTCTATGAGCAAATGTGGCAAGGCTTGGACAATATCCCAGTTTTGGGCTGCAAGGGGCAAGTAACACTCGTGCCACACAAATGCCAAACAATTACCATCTCTTACAAGAAGGAATCTAACTATTAAACATTGACATTCAATGGCATTAACATCACTGAACCCCCCCCCCCCCCCCCCCCAGTCAAGGTTCTGGGGATTACCATTGACCAGAAATTGAACTGGACTAGCCACATAAGTACAATGGCTGCAAGAGCAGGTCAGAGGCTAGGAATTCTGCAGTGAGTAGCTCACCTCCTGATACCCCAAAATCTGGTCACCATCTACAAGGCCCAAGTAAGTAATGTAATGGAATTACCCTCCACAAACCTGGAT